ATAGTTTCCGTGGGAAATCTAGAATGCTTAGATTAGAAAAGGCTTCGTTAGTCTCATTGTATCACCACTACTAAAAAGATTTTCCAGATGAGCAGCTGTGAGCTATAAGAAGATATCTATTTCTGCTCCACTGCTATTACGTGCTAGAACAATGTGTTTATAGTATAGAATTTCTGCTTGGAATTCTCCTGAATTCAAGACTATAAACAAAACAAGTGTGAAACCAAGTATCATACTTTTAAATCATGCAGAAAGGCATACCGTCATACATATACGCATAGTGCAAAAATGGCATACAGATAGAAAGTAATTAGAGAAGAAACTTTGAGCATTGGATTTTATGAAATAAAAGCTCAATTTACACTGGGAGATTTAAAAAAAAAGCAGAATAGTATACATTTTATGTGGCATCAGTTCTCCAGGTACAAAAATCCTTCCAAATCATACATATAGCATTGTATACAGTCTGAATTGATAAAAAGTATACTACCAAATTAAGTATATTCATAGAGATAGATCTTTTATGTAAGCCCCAAACATAAAAAAGATTTTTTTATTTTTCCATTGCTTTCGCTTTTCTTTCTTCTCTATGGATGGCATTTTTTGTGTGTGTGTTTAATTTAAAATAACCAATGGCATCTAAAAGCAACTTAGTAAAACTTAATAACTAGGGAGGATGTTTGTAGTATATATGTCAAAAAGAAGTAGCTAATACTGAGCCCATAAAGATTTCCTCTGTAAATAAGAAAAAGGTGGCCAGGTATGGGGGCTCACACCTGTAATCTTAGCATTCTGAGAGACCAAGGTGGGAGGATCATTTGAGCTCAGGCGTTCGAGACCAGCCTGAATAAGAGCAAGAACCCATCTCTACTAAAAAAAATAGAAAAAAATTAGGTGGACAACAACAACAACAATATATATATATATAAAATTAACTGAGCTTGGTGGCACATGCCTGTAGTCCCAGCTACTCGGGAGGCTGAGGCAGGAGGATGGCTTGAGCCCAGGAGTTTGAGGTTGCTGTTTGAGGTAGCCCAGTCAACAGAGTGAGACTCTGTCAGAAAACAAAAGAAAAAAGAAAAGAAAAGAAAAGACAAAGGTATAAACTCAAAAGCCCCCAGAACTGTTTTCATTTCAATTCCATTGCAATTTTTTGTTTTTTGTTTTTTGAGACACAGTCTCACTGTTGCCTGGGCTAGAGTGCCATGGTGTCAGCCTAGCTCACAGCAACCTCAAACTCCTGGGCTCAAGCAATCCTCCTGCCTCAGCCTCCCGAGTAGCTGCGACTACAGGCATGAGCCACCATGACCGGCTAATTTTTTCTATACATTTTTAGTATGTTATTATAGTATATTAATATATTATATTAATATATATTATATTAACATATATAATACATATTAGTATATTATATATTATTAATTTCTATTTTTAGTTGAGGCAGGATCTCATTCTTGCTCAGGCTGGTTTCGAACTCCTGACCTGAGCGATCCTCCTGCCTCGGCCTCCCAGAGTGCTAGGATTACAGGCCTGAGCTACCACACCTGGCCCCATTGCGATTTTATTACGCCACAAGTGTTCCTTTCCATCCACCCATCCATCCGCCCATCCACCATTCTACAAGTAGTCTCCGCCTGTAGAATCCTACTCAACCTTCGCTATGGCAGGAGATGCTGCTGTTGCTCGTCTACACCCCTCAGCACTCATGTCCCCTGAACCACAAAAGCATGCCCAGGTACTTGGTCCTGTCTCTCAGTGGTCCCTTGTGGAACTGAACCCCAATTGCTCCTTATACACACTGGGTCGCCTGCCTCTGTCACTGCTTCCTAAAACTTCTTCTCAAATCCTTGGCCACGGGACGGCTCCTGGGAGAGCCCAGTGGCGCTGAAGAAAAGGTCAAAACCTGTCCTGTGTGGACGAGGGCTCTCTCTCTCGCCCCTCTGCGCTCTCAGAGTGCTTGTGTAACTCACACTGCTCTCACAGAAGGTCTCGTTTGTGGACTTGTGCTTCAAATGTTCCCATCTCTGTTGCATGTTCAATTGCAAACTTCTTGAGAACAAGAATCTCACTTACCTAGGGTTTACTGCACACTGAATGGCACACTTTCCTATAAAATTTATCTTTTTATTTCTTTTGGATTTGTTTTCCATATCTATTTTTAAAAAAGAAACTATTATGCCACAGTTTTCCTCTTTCCATGGGCATATTCCTCTTCTTGTACTTATGGAAGATTCCTTGGAGTCTGATACATCATCATATTTTGTGATTTCATCATGGGCACTTGTATTGTCTATTTTCAAGGCACCGACTTCAACATGTATCAATCAAATTGACTTTATTGGTATGGTATTTTGGTATTTTATATTGGTACTTATTTTTTGTCCAATTATTATATTTTGAGCTGAGAGAGATTAACTAAAGTCTATCATCATTAACATATCTCTGTCCAGTTCTCCTTTTTTCTCCATAACGCTGGCGTAGTGAATGTTGTGGCTAGTGTGTGGTATGCATACATATTCATAACTTCCATATCGTCATTGAACTCTTTAGCATTACAAAGTACACTACTTGTCTCTTAATCCAAATTATATCTTGTCTAATATTAAGCTCACAACCCCTACTCTCTGTTTATTCACTTTGTCTCATGATTTTACACATTTAATTTATTAAAAATAAATTAAAGATTTACTTTTAATCTTTCTAAATTACTCTGTTGTATGAGCATTTATTACATAGAGCATTCAGCTAGGTTTGATTTTGTGATAAAATCCATTATTAGGTGCTATAAATGTATGAATCTTATGTCTTTCTAAGTTATTGACTCTTTTATTGTTATGAAATTTTCTTCTTCATTTCTAATAATACTTTGTCTTTTTTTTTTTTTCAGGCAAGTGACAGACTTGAAAATACTTTGTCTTGAAGTCTATCATAGTTGATAGTAATACGCCACTCCATCCTTTGTATGCTTACCATGTGCATACCTACCTTTGTCTTGCATTTATGTTCAATCTATCCATGTTTTTATATTTATAGTGCATCTGTAGTTGACTATTGGGCCAGGCGCGGTGGCTCACACCTGTAATCCTAGCACTCTGGGAGGCCAAGACGGGAGGATTGCTCAAGGTCAGGAGTTCAAAACCAGCCTGAGCAAGAGCGAGACCCCGTCTCTACTATAAATAGAAAGAAATTAATTGGCCAACTAATATATATAGAAAAAATTAGCTGGGCATGGTGGCGCATGCCTGTAATCCCAGCTACTCAGGAGGCTGAGGCAGGAGGATCACTTGAGCCCAGGAGTTTGAGGTTGCTGTGAGCTAGGCTGATGCCACTCTAGCCTGGGGCAACAGAGTGAGACTCTGACTCAAAAAAAAAAAGTTGACTATTGCTTTTTAATCCTTCTAATAATCACTGATTTCTAAGTGGCATGTTTGTTAGACTAATAACATCTAATGTAATTATCAACATGGTTAGGTTTAGGGAGCCCATTGTATTGTTTTCTGTTTGTCCCGTTTTTCATTTGCTTGTTTTCGTGTTTCATATTTCCTGCCTTCTTTTGGATTATTTGAATATGTTATAGAATTTAATTTTAATCTATGGGTTCATAAACTATATATCTGTGTATTAATTTTTAGTGGCTATGGTAAAGATTACAATACACACTCTTAATTTTTTGCATTTTACCTGGCGTTAATATTGTGCCACTTCCTATAAAATATAGAAACCTTACAACCATATTTACTTCCCCCATCTTCCATTCTATTTTTTTGCCAAATACATTACTTCTGCATTCATTATAAACCCCATAGAACAATGTTACGGTTTTGTTTAAGCAGTAATATATATTTTAAGAAATTGACAGAAAAATATTTTATGTTTACTCAGATAATTATGATTTATTCATTTTCACACAGAACAACAGAAAAAATAATAAAGAAAAGCAGTCCCACGGCTGATGCAACGGCTCAACAAAGTCATCAAAGACCAGCGAGTCTTTTTATCTTTGTCTTCTGCCAAGGACATCGAATGGTTTAGACCGCAGGCTTGTCCCTCCCTACACACGTCACGGCTGTCCCGTTCTAGGAGTACCGTGGGCAGATATAACAGTGTCGAGGTGTTTCAATCCATACTTTCCAAGAAGTACCTCATGGGTCTCATGCCCGTGCCTTTGAATAAGGTCGTCTGTGATCACGAGCATGTTCATCCTGTTGCATGGGAGGTGGGCTCTTTACTTTAGAAAGGAGGAAAGCAAGAGGAATGGCTGTCATGCCCCCTTCCTTTCCTCCTTTCTAAAGTAAAGAGCCTGCCACACCTGCTTGCTGCTACTTATTGGCAGTGGCTACTAAGAGCACTATACTTAGAAAAACTGAAGACTCAGTTTAGAAGTGAGGACTCTGATTACCGTGCAATGTCTGTCGTGCGTATGGAAAAAAAATGGTGGGAGGTTTTTCATTTATTGGCCCAGAATGTCTCATATTATACAGGAATTATTGCTTTCAACACTAAATCTGTCAAGCACTCAATGGTTTAGAAATTCACTAAATTTAAATTTTAGTTTAAATTAGTCTAAATTTAGTTTAAATTTAGACTAAAATTAAACTTTAGTTTTAGAACACACAGCTACTTAAGATGCTCACTTGCCCCTAGAACTCCTTCTCTGTGTGATGGTTAGATTTTACATTTAACTTTAGGTTCAACCAGATATCAATTCCCTAGTAGTTATTAGTTCAGAGCCCTGTCTTACCTAAACTAAACAATTACTAGCATAAATCTACATAGGGCCAGATGTGGTGGTATGAGTCTGTAATCCCAGCTACTTGGGACGCTCGAGGTGGGAGGATCACTAGAGGCTAAGAGTTTGAGACCAGCCTGGGCAATATAGCAAGACCCTGTCTTGAAAAAAACTTAAAAATAAAAAAAATTCACATGGGATTGTCCACCACCACCGCACTTGCTCCATACTACAGCATAATACCCAAGGAGCAAAGTTTAGCATAAAGCAATTCATTATGAATGGTGACGCTGTGGTCAATTTTAATGAAGATCATTTAGATAGAGGAGCCTTACTACAAACTCCCACGTTGCTCGGCATATTCCAAGGCCAACACTGATTGAATCCAGATTTGAAACTGCTATCGAATATTTTTAATATTTAGCTAACTGGTCTTCTGTATTCTAGAACAACCCCCAAACTGCAACATTTTTATCAGTAAATGCATACAATTAAAACTAACAATTTCTGTTTCAAGCATTGGCTGACACAACTCGAAATCAAATTAACAAACAAGCCATCTCAGCTTTGATAAACTTAACATTGGCCTAGCTTAATTAATACGTAATAACACATATAACATATAAGAACCATAATACATATCATCTTTGTTAGGTGTCTTCTGTGTTTTCTTTTCTCTTGAGAATTCTTTTACTATATATTTTGGAGGAAAAAAAACAAAGTTTTTATTTTTGAGATAATTAAAAATTATATATCACATACTTAACATATTATATTTTAATTAAAGCTTTGTAAATGACAAGAAAATGGGGGCATGATTATGGAGGGGAATGACATAAGTTTCCTAAAAACAAGGAGCTAAGATGACAGAATTTTTTTTTTGGAAACAGAGTCTCACTTTGTTGCCCTGGCTAGAGTGCCGTGGCATCAGCCTAGCTCACAGCAACCTCAAACTCCTGGGCCCAAGTGATCCTCCTGCCTCAGCCTCCCGAGTAGCTGGGACTACAGCCATGCGCTAGCATGCTCAGCTAATTTTTTCTATATATTTTTTAGTTGGCCAATTAATTTCTTTCTATTTTTAGTAGAGACGGGGTCTCGCTCTTGCTCAGGCTGGTCTCAAACTCCTAAGCTCAAAGGATCCTCCTGCCTCGGCCCCCCGGAGTGCCAGGATTACAGGCGTGAGCCACCACGCCCAGCCAGTTTACAGAATATTGAAATAGCACTGACCTCTTTCCATCTCCACATGCCTGGACAGTGTGTTGGTCAGTATTCAATAAAGCATAAACTCAGATCACTGTAGGAACTTTAAGCAGAAATATATTGAATATAGGAAATTGGATCCTGACAAAAATTTTGGAATGGCTGGTGCAGACAGCTCTAGGTTGAGTCTTTAAGAATGATTCCCAGAACATCGCAGGCTGGATCTGAGGGAGGCACTGTCTCTGAGGCTACCCCTGGAATGACTGAGTCGAAAGCACCCACTACAGGGACGACCCAGGGACTCGGATGCTGGGATCGAGCCGCTGCCACTGTGCTGCTGCTTCTGCCACACCTGCATGTCTACACTGGAGAATAAGCAGGGGAACGAAACCGAAGAAAGCTGCTGCCAGCTATGAGAAAAAAGCCAAAAAGGGCAGGAAGATGGCCTGCAGCTACCTTCCTCCTTCCAGCTGCCTTGCACTTGCATCTGATAGACCTGGAACCTAGTTGGCATCCGAATTCTAACTAGCTAAGTCAACATCGTTTTCAGCTTTCCAGCCACAAGTTTACAAAAAGGCACTCTTGGTGGGGCATGGGGGCTCACACCTAGAACCCTAGCACTCTGGGAGGCTGAGGGAGGAGGATTGCTTGAGGTCAGGAGTTCAAGACCACCCTGAGCAAGAGTGAAAGCCCATTTCTACTAAAAATAGAAAAAATTAGCCGACGTGGTGGCACATGCCTCTCGTCCCACCTACTCGGGAGGCTGAGGCAGGAGGACCGCTTGAGCCCAGGAGTTTGAGGTTGCTGTGAGCTAGGCTGACACCACGGCACTCTAGCCCCGGGCAACAGGGCAAGACTCTGTCTCAAAAAAAAACACCTAAAAATAAAAAATAGAGGGAGAGTGGAATGACACTGAGCCCACCAAGCTTCAGGATCTATCTCAGATACTGTCAGAGTCCTAATATATTACATTTGTACATTCCGAAATTACACAGTGCCAGAAACACATAATGAGAGTTTCCCCCTTTGGGAAATAAACTATTTTAAGCAAACTTATTCTGTTGAAAGTAGGGGAAATGCAAATAGTGTTACCTGGCAACTTTGAATATCAATGAAATGATTAAGCATACAGTTTCCATTTATTCATGAGCTATGGCTACACAATGCCAAATTTCCAACTGATAATATAAAGAAGGAAGAAAAGAAATCTGACGTGTAGGGCTCATTTGATCTTAAAATATTTTAAAACTGGTGCCTCAGCCGGGTGAGGTGACTCAAGCCTGTAATCCTAGCACTCTGGGAGGTCTAGGCAGGAGGATAGCTCAAGGTCAGGAGTTCGAAACCAGCCTGAGCAAGAGCAAGACCCTGTCTCTACTAAAAAAAATAATAGAAAGAAATTAACTGGCCAACTAAAAATACATAGGAAAAATTAGCCGGGCGTGGTGGCGCATGCCTGTGGTTCCAGCTACTCAGGAGGCTGAGGCAGGAGGATCCCTTGAGCCCACGAGTTCAAGGTTACTGTGAGCTATGACTGAAGCCACGGCACTCCAGCCTGGGCAACAGAGTGGGACCCCGTCTCTAAGAAAAAAAAAGAGACAGAGAGAGCAAGAGGAAGAAAAGAAGTCCCTGTAAGCTGCTTTTGAAACAAAGACCACTAGCTACAGAGGCTTGCTGCAGGAGTTGGTGGAGACAGCCATTGTTAGTCAAATGTCTTTGTGCACTCCCTTATCTAGAGTGCTGTGGTTTTGAGGAATTCCTTGGATGGTTTCTCTCCTAGACATACTCGCCTGAGGGCCCCTCCTTCATCGCCTCCCAGCTCCAAGTTGTTAGGGTTTGACATAGTGACTCCATTTTGGTATTGGCAACTTTGACACAGGACAATAGAAAGTAATTTCGCAAGCCGTTAGGAAATAAACAAACCAAAACTCCTCTTAGCAGACTGTGGGAGGGTTTCATCTAGAAATAACCAAAGTCTGAATGAATATTGAAATTCTTTGAATGGGGAAACAAGGTAGAAAAGATCAGAATAGGAAAAGGAAAGAACAATAAATAAGAACCCAAGGAGGACAACATAAAGAAGCTGTCTTAAGAGGGAGTCACGGGGAAGCAGTATGTTCTGGAAAATGACAGTTAACTTCATTTTGTACTTTTGCGAATTAAGGATTTTTAAAAATCCCATTGCAGAGAAATGTTGTAGGAATTAAACTAAATAAAATAATCTATGTGAAAAGCCTTATTCTCTGCCTGTCATTTGATAGGCTCATTCAAAACATTAGTTCCCTGCCCCTGGACACTTCTCTCCTACATGCTATAACTACCCTATTTTACTGGTAATAGTTTTATTGAGATATAATTCACGTGCAACTTACCCATTTGAAGTGTACAATTCAATGGGCTTTTTTCATATATTCACAGAGCTATGTAGCTATCATCACAATCAATACTCATCACCTCAAAAAGAAACTCCATGCCTTTCAGCTATCACCCGGACACTCTGTGCTCCCTAGGCAGCTGCCAATCCAATTTCTGTCTCTAGGCTGGGCACAGTGGCTCATGGTAATCCTAGCATTCTGGGAGGCTGAGGCGGGAGGATCGCTTGAGGCCAGGAGTTTCAGCAAGAGTGAGACCCTATCTCTACTAAAAACAGAAAAATTAGCACGCACCTGTAGTCCCAGCTACTCAGGAGGCTGAGGCAGGAGGATCACTTGAGCCCAGGAGTTTGAGGTTGCAGTGAGCTGGGCTAACGCCATGGTCGTCTACACAGGTGACAGAGGGACACTCTGTCTCAAAAAACAAAACAAAACATATTTGGCTTCTAGCCCACTTTCTACCTTATTTTCCATTAATCTGCCTCCCACACTCAAAGATCAAGAGACACTGCAGTCGCAAGCATGGGCAAAAGTTTTAGCCAGACTTGTAACTGCATGCCTGCTTCTGCCTCTTACCATTTTATTTATTTGACCTTTGCTTTCCTAACATACTACGAAATAATAATCCCCACGTTAGCTTCCTTACCCTCACCATCCTCACCTATATCGTGAGATAAGAAGACCTACTCGGCAAGCGTGTTGATAGGGGTGCAGGACAGCCTGAGTGCTCCAGGGTAGACGGGGGATCTTGTTCATTGTCCATATTCAATTATTACTGTTATTATTCCTCCATGTCTTCGCAGGGGCTATTTTTTTTTCCAGTTAGAAATTGGAATGCCTTCCCACCTTTTCTGCAAAGTGAACTTCTTCTAGTCTCAGCTCTAAGGTCACCTACCCTATATCAGTTAGTGTTTTTTATTTTTCTTTATTTAGCAAACATGTATATGATGCTTAGTATGTTCCTGGTGCCAGCCTAAGTACTTTCACAAATATTAGCTTATTTATTTCTCATAACCCTATGAGGTAGGTATTATTATTATTTTTATAGATAATCGAGAGCTAATATTTTGCTCAAATCACCCCGCTAGTAAGTGGCAGGTGCAGTAGTCTGTGCACAGGGAGGCTTTATCAAAGGTATCCTCTCCTCCATCTTCTTTTCTTTTTCCTTGACATTTTCTTTAACAGCGTTATACTGTTTTACACTAAAACTGTGGGTTTTGTGGGTTTTTCTTTCCTTAAGAATGTGATGTTTGTGGAGTTCGTGGATCTAATCTAACGCCAAATGGGCCCCAAGAGTCCTCGAGGCCATGACAGTGGACAGCGTGGCAGTTGTCCAGAACCGAGGCTGAAGCTGGACCCACTGTTCCCTTGGCGGAAGATTGAGGTGCGGCTTCTCCGAGCAGCCAGCACCGGGGAATTCCAGTATGATGCTTTCAGTGTTTCTTTTATTTAGTTAGTTATTTTTTTCAACTCAGACATGAGGGGATGAAATTTCAGTGTTTCAAATGGACAAACTTGGCTGGGCGCGGTGGCTCACGCCTGTAATCCCAGCACTGTGGGAGGCCGAGGCAGGAGGATCACTCGAGCTCCAGAGTTCGAGACCAGCCTGACAAGAGCGAGCGAGGCCCCATCTCTACTGAAAATAGAAAACTTAGCTGGGCATGGTGGCGCATGCCTGTAGTCCCAGCTACCTGGGAGGCTGAGGCAGGAGGATCGCTTGAGCCCAGGAGTTGGAGGTTGCTGTGAGCCACGCTGACGCCACGGCACTCTAGCCCAGGAGACAAAGTGTGCCTCTGTCTAAAACGAACAAAAACCAAACTAGGTGAACAAACTCTGAGAGAAAATCCCTTTGCAAAAGCCTCCCAACCTCTCCAGGCCTTACTATTTCCTCATTTCCAGAGGGGGGGTAGCTGGCCTGGATTATATTTTACCCTCTCTCAGTCATACTGCTCCATATGAAACTGGAAGATCAAGACATCAACCGTGTGTCTGTTGTCTCACACACTGCGATCATCACGCCACGTTGATTATCTATTTAAACCTTCTAACTGTCTTTAACCCTCATTTTCAGAGAAGGAAACCTAGGTAAGAGAGGTAGAGCTGTGTATTGCTTAAAAGCATCATTTTTTTTTTTTTTTTTTTGTGACAGAGTCTCGCTTTGTTGCCCAGGCTAGAGTGAGTGCCGTGGCGTCAGCCTAGCTCACAGCAACCTCCAACTCCTGGGCTCAAGCGATCCTGCTGCCTCAGCCTCCCAATTAACTGGGACTACAGGCATGCGCCACCATGCCCGGCTAATGTTTTCTATATATATTAGTTGGCCAATTGATTTCTTTCTATTTACAGTAGAGACGGGGTCTCACTCTTGCTCAGGCTGGTTTCAAACTCCTGACCCCGAGCAATCCGCCTGCCTCGGCTTCCCAGAGCAAGCATCATGTTTTTGAGCAGATTCCCTGTGCCCCTCTTCTCAATCCTCCCCCAACAATTCTACAGACGTAGGAAGGAGTCTTGTCCCCCTGCTGTGTCTTATGCGTAAATCGGAAGTATAATGGAACCTAGATCACAGGATGATGATGATGATGATGATTTGTCTTCCATGTTTCAGGAATGTTGTGAGGATTAAGTAAGATAATGAACGTAAGACACCAAATGCAACTCTGGGAAATGGAAAGCTATTGTTCCTGTGGTTGTCTGAAAAACATGAGCAGGAAGTAGAGCCACCAGAATCAAGTCTGAAGCCAAAGATCATGCTCTGTCCACAAGCCTCTCTGACAAGCGACGTCTAAGCCAGAGGCCATACTCGTCTCTCAAGTCTCAACTCATGTTACTCCGTCTGGGAGCCTTAGCAAAAACTCACAATCTGCTGCCAACTAGCACCACGCACGACGCGCATTTGGGAGCCCTTGCTCAGCTGTGTCGTAATCACTGGACCAGCTGCCTGTGTCTCCCACTGGGCTCTGGGTCTTTGGGATCTTCAGCACTTCACCCGGTGTCCAGCATAAGTGCGTGAAGAGACGGTTAGGCATGCGGGGATGAAATGGCGGTGCTAAGAGAGAAGACGGCACTCCAGCCCGGGCACCAGACTGAGACTCCGTCTCGAAAAAAAGAGAGAAGACAACAAAAGAATCACCTTGCTCTTTCTGTTTAAGACTAGTTCTGGGCTGGTGGCTCACGCCTGTAGTTCTAGCACTCTGGGAGGCTGAGGAGGGCAGATTGCTTGAGGTCAGGAGTTCAAAACCAGCCTGAGCAAGAGCGAGACCCCATCTCTACTATAAATAGAAAGAAATTAATTGGCCAACTAAAAATATACACACAAAAAATTAGTCGGGCATGGTGGCGCATGCCTGTAGTCCCAGCTACTTGGGAGGCTGAGGCAGGAGGATTACTTGAGCCCAGGAGTTTGAGGTTGCTGTGAGTTAGGCTGATGCCACAGCACTCACTCTGGGCTGGGCAACAAAGCGAGACTCTGTCTCAAAAAAAAAAAAAAAAAAAAAGACTAGTTCTGGTAACACAAGCAGACTCACTCATCCTCCTGTATTCTGCATTCCAAGACATTCCAAGACTTGGACTTGTGGTCTGTACAAAGGTTGTTGTGCGAAGGAGAACCATGAAGTCCCTAAACCTAGGAGCTATGGGCACAGGAGGCAAAGCTTCCTTGAAGAAACGAAGTCATGTTTTTGTTTCCCATATACCACATTTTTTTTTTTTTGAGACAGAGTCTCACTCTATCGCCTGGGCTAGAGTGCCGTGGCGTCAGCCTAGCTCACAGCAACCTCAAACTCCTGGGCTCTAGCGATCCTCCTGCCTCAGCCTCCCGAGTAGCTGGGACTACAGGCATGCGCCACCATGCCCGGCTAATTTTTTCTACATACTTTTAATTGGCCAATTAATTCCTTTCTATTTTTAGTAGAGACGGGGTCTCGCTCTTGCTCAGGCTGGTTTCAAACTCCTGATCTTGAGCGATCCTCCCACCTCGTCCTCCCAGAGTGCTAGGATGACAGGCGTGAGCCACCACGCCAGGCCAATAGACCACACGTTTTGAAACTAAAATAATAAGACAGGGGACATTTATGTAATGTAACTTGTCATTTCACTCTATTAGCCATTTTTACATCACACTCCTGTATTTGTGATTAATCTATTTTTCCCCCTCTCTCAACATGAGAGATCTTTGAGTCATCTAGGAAATGATTGTAGCTAAATCAAAGGAGGAAACAGTAATGTGGAGAGAGAGTAAGAGAGAGAGAAAGACCCGCAAACTAAAGAGCTCCCCTGGGAACATGGGGCCATTCTCCTGTTAGCAGCCCAGGCCAGGTATATCCAGGCTGCTACTTCACTGACTCTGCAAGTCCTTCATTCACTCTTTCTGCCATTGGTAGTGAGAAATTTCTCCAGCCACCTACAGATTTCCAACAATAACTTCAAATCTAGGTGCCCTGCAGAGGGACTCTTGGGAGCAGCTGAAGGTCTAGCTCTTAACTGGCAGTTCAGAATTCGATTACCAATATTTTAAGGGAGTTTCTTTTGCATCTGGCAGCAATGTTTCCCTTTCACTCTGTCTCACAGATGAGAGTTCTTTGACCTTCACTTTTTCTCTAATCCCTACACCTTATCCCTCCTCCATTCTCAAAGCTCTCCCAAGTCTAAGAAACCCTAAAATGATCCCTGAGAGAAACACTGGAAGGCCTTTAGCCTGACTTGAAATGTGAGAATTATTTAACTTAGTTTCAAGCTCTCTGGAAACCTAAACAGGTTATTAAAATTAATACTAGGCGGGCGTGGTGGCTCACGCCTGTAATTCTAGCACTCCGGAAGGCCGAGGCAGGAGGATCACTCAAGGTCAGGAATTTGAGGTTGCAGTGAGCTATGAGGACATCTCCCTCTACCCAGGGTGACAGAGTGAGACTCTGTCTCAAGAAAAAGAGAGCATTCCCTTTCCAGGTGTGGCCTTTGTCCAGATCTGATGTTCACTTGGTGGCACCAAAGAAGATCCATGTAGATATTGTGGCTTCCATCCTTGCGTTTCCCACAAGGTAAATGTGGATCAACTCAATTAGAATGCAAGAAAAAAATGGTTTCACTTTGAGTCAAAGTCCTACGTGAAATAAATAAATAAATGAATCAAAGGGGAAAAATGCTTTCATCCACTTAATGTTTGTTTTTCAGTTTATAAATCTCTTGAACTGTGGAAACAGCTTTGTAACCCTGGGGTGATGTGGTGGTTTGGGTCAGAACTCCTCGGTGCAAACTGAGCAGGTGCCTGAGTTCTAGTCTCTTAAGAGATATGAAGCAAGCGTCCTTTATATATCTGGACCGATAGCTCCCTCCATAGGATGGATAGTTAGTGAAGGCTGGCTCCACATTGATTACATCTGCTTAATTAATTAATTTTTTTTCTATTTTCTTTTTCTTTT